CCTGGTCTGCTGCTGTAGGAACAGCACTGGATTGCGAACCAAAGGGTCAGCAGTTCAAACCCACCAGCTGCTCCTCAGAAACCTGTACAGGGTTGCTATGAGTCAGAATTGACTCGATGGCACTTAGCTATAACAACACAGGGTTGCTGTGAGTTGGAATCAGCGTAATGACAATGGGTAATAGAGTCCAACAATGTGAAAGTTCCCCAGAGTAAATGGGGGAGCCCTGAGGTTACATAAAACGGGCTTCCCACAGAAGGTGCTTGCTGAAGTCATCCTTGAAGGAAATACTGTCTGAGTCCTGGCTGTGAACCCTAGAGGAGAGAGTGGCCCTGCCCTCTAGGCTTTCTGAGATCTTCATAGGAATAGGCAGCCTCATCTTTCTTCTGAGGAGCAGCTGGTGGGTTTGAACTGTCAACCATGTTGTTAGCAGTACAGTGCTTAACCCATTGTACCACCAAGACTCCTTATAAGGAGGAGGATGTTGTTAAGGGCCTTCACGTCAGTTCTGATCCATAGTGACCCTGTGTAGCATTTCTGAGTAGCAGCTGGTGAGTTTGAACCGCCGGCCTTGTGATTCAAACAACCTTGTGGTCTGGTGCTTATCCTACAATGCCATACCAGGACTCCTATATGGAGGATTTGTTGTGGTTGTTAAGTGCTGTTGAGTTGGTTTCGAATCATAGAAACCCTGTATGGGGTTTCAGAGGAACAGCTGGTGGGTTTGAACTGCTAATCTTCTGGTTCATCGTCCACAAGTGCCGCATCAGGAGTCTATATGGAGGTTGTTGTTGTTGTGAAGAGCCGTTGAGTTGATTCTGACCCATAGCGACCCTGTATAGGGTTTCTGAGGAGCAGCTGGTGAGCTTGAATCACCTACCTTGCAGTTCAAACAACTTTGCAGTCTGGCGCATTAACCCACAGCGCCACACCAGGACTCCATATGGAGGATGTTGTTGTTGTTGTTAAGTACCATGGGTCGGTTCCGACTCATAACAACCCTGCACAGGGTTTCTGAGGCTGTAAATCTTTTCAGGAGCAGAACGCCTCATCTTTTGCCTTTGGAACCACTGGTAGTTTCAAACTGCCAGCCTTGAGGTTAGCAGCCCGATTCATAGCCACTACGCTACCAGAGCTCCTTATATGGAGGATAGGAATTGGGAAAACCCAGGGCTTTGAATTGGTTTAAATTGGTTTAATCATGGCCAATGTAGCAAAGTTGGAACAGACCCGAATTGATCAAATACGGGTGTAGCAGAATGGGGAAAATTACAGGCTGAAATTGTGGAATGGGAGCCGGGTAAGAGACTGAGTGAGCCCTTTTAGGAGCCAGATGCAGGAGACTGGGTTATTTTCAGGTGTGTGGAGAGCAACACACGTTCAGCATGGCGTACTCAGCTACCATCTTTGAGCCAGGTACCACTGTTTCTGACTGTGCCACTGAGAGATTTCGTGGCTACATGACACTCATGCTGAGATTAAGTTTCTTGTAGGGCATCTACCCACAATGTTTCCTGTCCTGGTTTCATTCTGATTCACCACACTTGGGTCCATTCTGCTATTGCCATAATTATGGGTCATGACTGAGCTGGGAAGAACCCTTTTGAAGCCTTGTATCAACCTTGACAATCTGGTTCAGCTGGAAGGAACAGACTTGGATGTCCCAAGGGCAGAGGTTGAAAGCCTAGGGTGGGATGATCACTAATGAGGCTCTTAAACATCCAGCCACAGAGGTGAGGTTTGTGGGAAAGACAGTGGGGAGTGCTAATCTTTCGAATGCCTTGAAGATAGAGGCTGGTTGTGGTTGTTGTTAGCTTACCTTCCAGTAGGCCCCTCACTACGGCAAGTCCACACACAGTAGAATGAAACACTGTTTATTCCTGAGCCAAACCTACGTTGTTGTGGTTGATGTTGTTAAATGCCATCCAGTTAATTCTGACTCATAGTGACCCTGTATAAGGTTTGTGAAGAGTGGCTGGTGGGTTTGAATTGCTGACCTTGCAGTTGGAAATCCAGTGTTTACCCTACAAGCACCACACCAGGATCCTATGACAAACCTATCAATAGTCAAAATTCCATATATGCTTGCTAAAAGGAAGGGTGAAAGGTTGAATCTTGAGGAGACGGTGGGGAGCTACCTAATAAGAAGAAGATTTGAGTAGCTGGGATAGGAAGAAATGAAATAGGAAAATAATGAAAAAGCTAGATAGTCCTAGGAGTTCAATGAAAAGTCCTCATGTAGGTTAATGGGCTGGACTGCAAGGTCGGTGGTTCAAACTCACTAACCACTCCTCGGAAACCCTATACAGGGTTACCATGAATCAGAAATGACTGGACAGCACTTGGAAGTGAGAAGTGAGGTACTGGATGGTCAGTGCACTTGGTTGTTGTTAAGTGCCCTTGAGTTGGTTCTGATTCACAGCTACCCTATAGAGCAGGGGTGGGGAACCTTTTTCCTGCCAAAATTGATGACATCATTCGTGAGCCATACAAAATTATCAGATTAAAAATTAGCCTGCTGTGTTTGGTCAAACGTTTAATGAGCCCACTCCTAATGTGATGGCTGGAACTGTGGTTGCCTTGCAGGGCCAGATGTTCCCCAGCTGTGCTGTATAGGGTTTCCAAGGAACGACTGGTGGGTTTGAACTGCCAACCTTTTTGTTAGCAGTCCAGTGCTGATCCTACAACGCCACACCAGGACTTGTAGTGACCCTGGAAATACTATTCACAAACCCTATACACCTGATGGACTCAAAGTGTGGCACTGTAGGATCAGCACTGGACTGTGAACCACAAGATCGACAGTTCAAACTCACTGACCGCTCTGGGAGCGTAGTGGTTACGAGGTGGGCTGCTAACCTCAAGGGCAGTAGTTCGAAACTACCAGCTGTTCTGTGGGAGAAAGATGAGACTTTCTGCTCCTGTAAAGATTTACAGCAATGGAAACCCTATGCAGGGTCACTATGAGTCAGAAGTGACTCCATGGCACATAACCACCACCACCAGCCACTCCTTGGAAGCCCTATACAGGGTCACTATAAATTGGAACCAGCTCAACTCTCAACACCACTTAAAAACAACAACAAATGTATCTGATATGTATCTATGTTAACTCATGTAACCATCACAATACCTTTGTGAGGCAGATAGTATTGTTTACATTTTATAGATGAGAAAATCCAGAGGCAGAATGAATAGCATTGCTCTATAAGGAGAACTGATGTGGCGCTGTGGCTGGACTGCAATCCGCTTGAACTGGGAGGTTTGCGGTTCAAGTTCACCAGCTGCTCCTCGGAAACCCTATACAGTGTCATTATAGGCTGGAACCTGACTCAACAGCACTTAACAACAGCAACATAAGTAGAAAATGGAAGGGAGTAAAGAGATAAAAGACTAAAGAAAATAAAGTTTATGACATGTTGCTGTTAAGTGCCGTTGAGTCGGTTCCTACTCTTAGCAACCTGTATAGGGTTTCCGAGGCACTGCTGATGAGTTTGAACCCGCTGACCTTGTGGTTCAAACTGACCTTGCAGTCCAGTGCTTTATCCCACAGTACTACACCACGATGTATGCTGTTGTGGTTATGTGCCGTGGAGTCAGTTCTGACTCATAGTGACCAATGGGGTTTACGAGGCTGTAAATCTTTACGGGAGCAGAAAGCCTCATCATTCTCCCACGGAACAGCTGGTAGTTTCAAACTGCTGACCTTAAGGTTCGCAGCCCAATTTGTAACCACTACGCTCCCAGAGCACGATGTGTAGTTGTTAGAAAAAAGGAACAAAAAACTTTCTCATATGGCTGTGACTTTTCAGCCTTCTGAGCTCGTTTCTCTCTCCTTATCTGTGCTGGTCCCCTCACCTGCTTTCACTGAGGGCTTTAGTACCCTCCATCCTACAGTCATCGGGGTCAATATCAGTGTCCCTAAATGTGACCCTTCTACAGTGATATTGGGAAGTCTTTTGTGTACCCCCTTACCTGCCCACCCACTCCCATGAGCACCCACCTGTGTAGAGCTCAAAACACTCAAAAGCTCGAACCGTCCAGCCACAGCCTTCTGTCCCACCTGTCACTCCATACCATCACGCTAGTCCTTCAACTCCATTAAAACATTCAGGTGTTTGAAAAATGAAATGCATTCTTTGCTTTTTGAGTTCAACTGTTACTTAATTTCAAGGCGATTTCAGGTTCCTCTTTGCTTGTATCACTCAGCCCTGTCTTCACGTTTTTAAAGGTAGTTCTCCACTGTGTATCTGCATATAACTAACTTTGCTTTTGCCACACTGAGTCTGTATGCCGGGTTTAACTCCTCTGTATGTCATCAGCATTGAGCTCACCGTGTCTGTGAGGTGGGTGGTGAGTGGGTGGTGGATCAGCAGTGACCAGAGCAGCCTCTCGCGTCATCTTGGTCATCTGATGTTGAAGTAAAAATATCTGATGGATATGGGAGTCCTGGTGTGGTGCTGTAGGATAAGCAATCGACCACAAGGCCAGTTTGAACTGCAAATTTGGCGGTTCAAATTCACCAACCGCTCCTCAGAAACCCATTACAGGGTTGCTATGGGCCGGAACCGATTTGACAACACTTAACAACAACACTGTAGTCTGCCTAATGCCTGCTCTGTGTTAGGAAGCGAGAATAGGATTTTATAGAGTATATATGTAACCGTTTACAAAGAGTATGGTGAAATTGTGTGACGTTTTATGTCCTTTAAGTATTTTATTTAGGGAGAGAAATGATGAACGCTGGTGTGGTGTCGCAGCATAATGCGCTGGACTGCCAGGTTAGTTCGAACCGCAAGGTTGACGGTTCAAGCTTACCAGCCGCTCCTTGGAAATCTTATACAGGGTCACTGTGAGTCGGAACCCACTGGACAGCACTTAACAACAGCAACAACAACAACAACAGAAGTGTTGACATTGATTCCATTTTGACTAAAGGACTTTTTCTGAGGTTTCTGCCCTCCTTTAATACTTGGTGGTCCATTTTCCCTCTGTTTCAGTCAAGCGCTACATCCGGAAAGGTGTCCCGCTTGAACACCGGGCACGTGTGTGGATGGGGATGAGTGGAGCTCAGGCCCAGATGGAACAGAATCCTGGCTATTACCACAGACTTCTCCAGGGAGAGCGAGATGACAGCCTAGAGGAAGCCATCCTGACAGGTACCCCGGCTGCTTGTCCCTCTAGTCAGCACGGTTTTCTTGGAAGGAAGCAAGCTGGTCAGGCAAGCTTGTCAGCAAGGAACTGTGTTTGCAACTAGTGTTTAACGTCAAAATGTTGGTGTGGAAACTTACAGTGTTAAAGATGCATCAGCTGATTTTAATTTGCAATTATAGTTTCTCAAAGTACAGTGAAAGAGTGGAGTGTTCGTGAGAGGAGGGCATTATTTTCATTCATTCCACAAGTATTTGAGGACCTGGCTTAGCAAATGCTATTAAAAAGACCAGCTGTCTTCCACGGAGACATGCTGGTTGTTGATGTTAGGTGTCGTTGGATCAGTTCTGACTCAGTGACCTTATGCACAACAGAATGAAACAGTACCATGCTCACAGTTGTTAACGTTTGAGCCCATTGCTGACACCACTGTATCGATCCATCTAATTGGGGTCTTCCTCTTCTTCACTGACCCTCCATTTTACCAAACATGAAGATGTCCTTCTTCCTGATAACATGCCCAAAGTATGAGAGACGAAGTCTTCCAGCATGATGTCAAGACGCATTCTGACTGCACTTTTTCCAACACAGATTTGTTTGTTCTTCTGGCAGCCCAGGGTTTTTTTTATTTTTAATGTTTTATTGTGAATTATGTGATAGTTTACATGGGAGAACATTAGCTTTACATTCATCCTATCGTATATCGTTTCATTGCCATGGTTACAATCCCCTCCATGCATCATCAACCAACCAAAGGGTATATCCTAGAAGTCTGTCCCCTCAGTTGTCAGCAGACAGCCCCTCTCCTCCTCTGTGTCTAAAGTCCCCAGCTGCTCCATCGCTCCATGTCATCGTCTCTGCCTCCATCTCTGGCATCACTGCTTCTCTGGGTAGGGGCCCGCTCTTCTCCCTTGATGGTCCCAGGGACCTCCACTCCTAGATTGCAAAGTTAACAACTCCCCTCCTTGTTACAAAATGTCTGCCTTTACAATTCCAACCTTCACAATCAGTCCTGATAACAGTTATTCACTATTGTATCACAAGAGACCCATCCGCATTGCATTTTATCAGCCCCGCCTAGACAGATTGGATACTACTCAGAGGAGATTCTACCTTCCTCCAGGCCCTCCTCCAGGGTACTTTTAATGTTCCTTTCCAACACAGTAATGTGAAATGCATGGATTCTTCTATGATCTTTCTTTGTTCTCTGGCCAACATTCAACATGTATATGAGGCAATTAATTGAAAGTACCATGGATTGGATCAGGCACACCTTAGTCCTCAAACTGGTATCTTTGCTGTTTAACATTTTAAAGAGCTCTTTTTGCAGCAGATTTGCCTAAGGCAATATGCCATTTGACTTCTTGACTGCTGCTTTCATGATTGGATCCAAGCAAAATGAAGTTTTTGACAACTTCAATCATTTCTCCATTTATCATGATGCTATTTACTGGTCCAGTTGTGAGGATTTTTGTTTTCTTTACTTTCATGTGCAATCCATACTGATCTTCATCAGTAAATATTTTAAATCCTCTTCACTTCCGGCAAGCAAGGTTGAATCACCTGCATATCGCAGGGTAATGATTCTTTCTTCAATCCTGATGCCATGTTCTTCTTCAAACAACCCAGCTTCTTAGATTATTTGCTCAGGATAAGATTTAATAGTATCATGAAAGAATATGCTCTGGCACACACCTTTCCTAATTTTAAACTATTCGGTGTCTCCTTGTTCTGTTCAAACAACTGTGTCTTGGTCTATGTACTGGTTCCTTATGAGCACAGTTAAGTATTCTGGAATAATCATTCTCCTCAATGTTGTCCATAGCTTGTCATGATCCACACAATCGAAAGCCTTTTCATAGTCAATAAAGCAAAATAAACAGCTTTCTGGTATCCTCTACTTTCAGTGGAAATCCATCTGACATCAGCAGTGCTATCCCTCGTTCCAGCTCCTCTTCTGAATATGACTTGAATTTCTGACATTTCCCTGTTGATGTACTGTTACAACCGTTTTTTACATTATCTTCAGCAAAATTTACTTGAATGTGATATTAATGATATTGTTTCATGATTCCCATATTCTGCTGGGTCACATCTCTTGAGACTGGACCTCAAAATTGGTCAGGTAGCTGTCGTCCAAATTCCTTGGCACTGATGAGTGAGTGCTTTCAGTATTACATCAGTTTGTTGAAAGATTTCCATTTGTATTTTGTTAATTCCTGGAGCCTTGTTGTTTGCCACGGCTTTCAGTGCAACTTGGACTTCTTCACTCAGTACCATTTGATTCTGTTTTTTAAAAAAAGATTTTATTGTGAATTGAGTGATACATGGGAAAATATCAGTGTTACATTCATCCTACTGTATTTTGTTTTATTGCAACTATTACTGTTATGCCCAGAATTCAGGGTCCCCAAAGACCACCCAGGAGCCGTGTACTGATGCAAATACATAAGGGTTGTTTAATCAAGCTCGAGCCAGGTCTCTAACCTTATCCGACATTTCGGAATAGGGAAAGAGCCCCGAATTCATTGTCTGCAGGGTTTTTATAGAATTTTCAAACAGCTCAGGTTTCTCAGCTTTACAATCTTTGGATTGGTTAACAATTGGCAAACTATGAGATGTTACAGTTTAATTGGTCAGGACTGGTGGTCTTTGTTCTTAGGCTAGGGTAAAGGAAAACATCTGGCCTCTGGCCTTGAGCTGCCTGACTATTTATGCATATATCATATTCTTGGAGCTAGAGTACGTGTTCAGGCTAATGTACAGAATGGAGATTGACCTTGCCTCTGGAGGGAACTAATAACTGAGGCCTTGTCTATTTAAAATGCTTTCCTGAGCCTGACTAGAGTTTAGTCAAGCAGTTTCTAGGTAGGCAAAATCAGTTTGGTCCTTACATTACAATTCCCTCCGTGCATCATCATTCAACAGCATTTGCTTCCATTCCCTCTGGTTTTTTTTGAATGTACACAAATACACAGGAATATATAATCATTTAAACAACAACCAGAATGCACATTCTGCAATCCTGCCTCCTGGCTGCCAGCACTCAGCCTTTCTTTTCCCGTGAGTCTGGAGTCCTCAGCTGCTCCTTCTCTCCATGTCCTCATATCTGCCTCCATCTCTGGTGTCGCTACTTCTCTGGATAGGGTCCTACATTCCGCTCATGCTCTTCTCCCTTGATGGTCCTAGGGCCCTCTTTTTCTGGAATGTAAGATTAACTACTCCCCTCTTTTTGTTACAAAACTTTTATCTTTAGGGATTGTAATCATTGCAATGAAATGATGAGTGTAAAACATGTTCTCCTGAGTAAACTGTCACTCAATTCACAATAAAAACTTAAAAACAAAAACAAAAAAACTTTTACATTTACAGTTGTGACAGTTGCAATTAGTCATGATAACAGTTACTTACTATTGAATCATACGAACCTTAGCCCTATCTCCTTTCACCAGACCCGTCTAGACAAGATGAAAACTATTCAGTGAAGACTCTACCTTCCCTGCCACAATCTGAAACTAAACTCCCTCTTGAAAACTTGTAAGCCAGCCACATCATGCCTTTATTGTCCCCCACCCCCACCCCATTTTAGGTAGCCAATGTCTAAGTTGCCTGTCTCTGTCAACTCTGTGTACAGAGGAGATAGGATAAATATTCCTTCCCTCTCAGCTGGTATTTTGAGCTACTGCATACATAATTATAGGTCAAGTTCATCAAATTGTACAAATGTACACTTATTTCCTTTATCAAAAATTTTTTATCTTCTTCTAGTCGAGTTCTGATCTACAGTCCATCGAAGCTAGGTCAAAGGGGTACTATCTGCAGATTTGAGCATTCTTGTGCATCTCCCCTCACTTCATATCAGCTGACACTTTAGGCTCAGCTCTAGCCCTCCATGGCTGTGTATGTCCCTATCCATGGACCCAGGAGTTCCCAGGTCTCACCATACTATGTACCAACCAGCCTTCCTCTTCTCTCTCTCATCTCTAGGTTGACAGGAGTCTGAAACGTGGTTGAATTCAGCCCATATCTTCATTGCTGCCTTTCCCACTTCAACTCACCAGTAGACCAGTGTGGTCGCCAGCAAGCTTACATGTCTGCTCATGTGTTCCTTTTGAGTTTCAGTCTTGGGGGGAGGTTTTCCTTCAGTACCATCAGTTCTTGATTATATCCTACCTCTTGAAATGGCTACACACTGACCATTTCTTTTGGGTATAGTGATTATGTGTATCCCTTCCATCTTCTTTTGATGCTTTCTGCATCATTCAATATTTTGCCCATCGAGTCTTGAGGTTTGAATTTTTTCTTCAGTTCTTTTGGGTTGACAGATGCTGAGGGTGTTTGTCCCTAACTCCAGCTTTTTGCATATTTCATTATAATATATTACTTTGTCTTCTGAAACTGCCCTTTGACATTTTCTGTTCAGCTCCTTTGCATCCTCATGTCTTCCATTCGTTTTTATCTTCTGTACATTCCAGAGCACATTTCAGGGTCTATTCTGGCAACCAGTTTGGACTTTCCTTTCTTATCTGTCTTTTTAATGACCTTTGGCTTTTTCACTGCTTTTGATGTCGTTCCACAGCTCCTCTGGTCTCGGCTCATTAATGTCAAAATTGCATCACATCTGTTTCTTAGATGGCCTCTAAATTCAAGTGGCGTACATTCAAGGTCATATTGCATCACATCTGTTCCTTAGATGGCCTCTAAATTCAGGTGGCCTCTACATTCAAGATCATATTTTGACTACTCTGCAGCTTTTTAAATTCTCTTCAACTTCAAACTGAACTTGCTTACGGATGATTAATGTCTGTTCTGTAATCTTCCCCTGGCCTTGTTTTAGCTGATGATAATTGAGTTTCTCCACCGTCTCTTCCCACAGATGTAGTTAATATGATTCCTGTATCTTCCATCTGGCAAGGTCCATATGTTGCTTCAAAACGGTATTTGCAGTGAAGAAGTCGTTGGTTTTGCAGGATTCTATCATGCAATCTCCAGGGTCATTTCTATCCCCAAGGTCATATTTTCTAACTGTTGATCCTTCCTCTTTATTTCCAACTTTTGCATTCCAATCACTAGCAATGATCAGTGCATCCTGATTGTATGTTTGATCAACGTCAGACTGATTCTTCAATTTTTCAGTGTCATCATCAATGGCATTAGCAGTCGGTGTGTAAATTTGAGTAATAGTATTAACTGGTCTTCTTTATAGGCATTTGGATATTATGCTATCACAGACTTCATGATAGATCTTGAAATGTTCTTTTTGACCATGAATGGAACACCTGTTTGTTGTTCCCAACATAGTAAACCACATGACTGTTGGATTCAACCAGTTACCATTCCATTGCCACTCACTAGTGCTTTATGCGTTCCATTCCACTTGTGATCATTTCTAGCGTTCCTAGATTCGTACTCAGACATTCCATGCACTGATTATTAATAGATATTTGCAGCTGTTTCTCCTCAATTTGAGTCGTGGACCCTCAGCAGATGAAGGTCCCGGAAGCTTTGCTGCATTCACACCATCATGGTCAGCTTTGCTTCGCCTGCTGGGTTTTGAGTGCCTTCTAACTCGAGGAGCTATCTTTTGACACTATATACCTGGCAGTGTTTCGCTGCTGTTCATAATGTTTTCATCTTCTGACACTATATCTGACAGTATTATACTGTGATTCAGAAAATTTTCAGTGGCTAAACATTCAGAAGTGGTCTGTGTCTAGCTCTTCCTAGTCGGTCTCGTTATGGAAGCTTTGCTGAAACCTGTCGACCATGGGGAACCCTGCTGGAATGTAAATTACCAGTGGCATAGATTCCAGCATCACAGCATTGTGAGAGTCACCACTGTATGTATGGCAAACTGACAGGTGAATGGGGAGGAATGCTTGGGAGAGTGAAAAGGTAGCCAGTGATCAGTAATAATAACCAATTACTGTGGTTTCCACTCCAGCTCATGGGCAGGCCCCTGTGTCAGAGCAGAACTGTGAGGTTTTCAGTGACTAGATCACCAGGCATTTCTGTGGATGCTCAAACCTCCAGCCTTTCTGTTAGCACTTGAGCTTGTTAATCATTTATGCTCCCCAAGGACTCCGTAAGCAATCATAATACAGTGGGATCAGTGCCATAAGGGATTTATACCTAATATTGTTGTTGTTGTTAAATACCATCCAGTTGATTCCGACCTGTCGCGATCCTGTCTGTATAGGTTTTCCAAGGAGCAGCTGGTGAGCTTGAACCGCCGACCTTGTGGTTCAAACTGACTTTGCAGTCTGGCGCATTAGCCCACAGCACCACACCAGGCTCCACACCTAATATTAGCACATGTCTGTTACCGACAATCCTGTATATAACCTGAAACAGTACATAGAGGTATCTTTTTTTTTTTTTTTTAATTAACTTTATGATCGTCGAAACAATTTTTTAAGCATGCTGATATTTTTGGCCTCTGATTTCTTTATAAGGATCTCAGGTAGCATAGTGGTCATGAATCGGGTTGCTAACCTCAAGGTCAGCAGTTCAAAACTACCAGCCAGGAGAAAGATGAGGCTTTCTGCTCACATAAAGATTTCCAGCCTCGGAAACCCTATACAGGGTCGCTATGAGTCAGAACCGACTCTCCATGGTACACAGCCACCACCACCAGTGCTAAAATAGGCTGGTGCACTGGACTACAAGGTCAATTTGAATCTAAAGGTCAGTGATTCAAGCTCACCAGATGCTTCTTGGAAATCCTATACAGGGTCATTATGAGTGGGAACCGATTCCACAGCACTTAACAACAACAGCAGCTAGATTTCCTCAGGCGCAGAGTGGAGACAATGTACTTGGTTCCAGCTTCTAACACTGCAGGAACAGCCCTCGCTTGGTATGTGTGCAATCTTGATATGTACAAGGGAACTTCCAAAAGTTCATGGGAAAGTTACGTTATCTTTTCAGTCTATTTTTCCATGAACCTTTTTGAAGCCCCTTTGTATGTTATTGTTAAGTGCTGATGAGTGGGTTCTGGCTCGTAGTGACCCTGTGTAGGGTTTCCAAGGAGCTGCTGTCTGACCAATTCACACTAAACACATCCCAGTTCATACTGGTAATCTACAGTACACAGTAGCAAACATCAGTATTGTAATCCAGTTAGGGCCACTAGAATCAGGGAAGCAAATTTACTTGCTTAACATATAACCTCTTTGTTCTTCTACCTGTCCATCAGATTAACATATAAAAGTCAACTTTAAAAATTCATGAAGTCAGTAGGGATGAAGCCATAGTTTCATCTTGGTGAGCTATCAAAGTGCCTTTGTTTCATTTTTGGTGCAGGGTCAGAGATGCTGATGTCCGGCTTGAGAGCACGATGGTGAAAGATGGAGGAAATAGGGTATCTCACTAAGCAGGAAAGGGTCCTCCTCTGTACACAAAAGTCAGCTATGCGGAGCTTCCTTAGCCCTTAGTATTCTGTTTTGTCTTGTTTATTCTGAAAGGGAGCTCTGGTAGCGTAATGGTTACGAATCAAGCTGTGACCCACAAGGTCAGCAGTTCGAAACTACTAACTGTTCCGCAGGAGAAAGATGAGGCGTTCTGCTCCTGTAAAGATTTACAGCCTCAGAAACCCTGTACAGGGTCACTATGAGTTAGAACCGACTCCACCATTCTGAAAGGGAATTGGGGCATGCTCTAATTCTTTCTTCTTTGGACCTTTGCAATTATGAGACATTTCTGAAGTTTTGTGTAAAATAGTCTATAGATATTTTCCATCATGCTAGAGTTGAGACTCCTTCTTAGCTAAGAGAGCTTTCGGGAAGGAGGGGGACACTTGAGAGCAGAGGTGGGTGTGGACCCGTAAGGTTGGCAGTGGGCAGGATAGAGGAGTTGAGGTGTTTCTGGGCTTACTTAGCATCTTATACCTATGAAGGTAGGAGAACCTCCAGCAGCATCAAGGCCATCACTGATTCTGAGAGCAAGAACTGTTGGGACTCGTCCTCGATCCTCCCAAGCTGCCTCTAGGAGCAGGAATGCCCTCTCCTCTCCTTCTGAACCAACAAACTCCAGGGGACATGCTCAGCTTGGTCTCTTTCCTTGAGTTCAGGAAGCTGCTGGTAAATCTCACCCACATGGAGCGAAGTCAGGCTGTTTTTAGGTCTACTCCTCATTCTTCTTAAGAAAGATTCCTTTCCCAAGAAAGATCAGCCTTCTTGATTTCTATTTCTGGTTCTTAATCTTACTACTTACTCATCAGAATCACCTAGCAGGCTGCTTTTTAAAAATCCCAGTTTAGTCTAAACCAGTTAAATCAGGAGTCTCTGGGAATAGGAGTAAACCAGTTACATCAAGAGTCTCTGGGAATAGGAGTAAACCAATTACATCAAGAGTCTCTGGGAATAGGAGTAAACTGGTTAAATCAGGAGTCTCTGGGAATAGGACTAAACCGGTTACATCAAAAGTGTCTGGGAATAGGGCTCCGGCATGGTTTCTTTTTGTGGTGGTGTTTTTTTAAGTTCACAGAGTGATTCTTGATTGAAAACAATTTTTTAATCTTAGACGGAATCCCAACACACCCCAGGTGAGGTCTGGGGATCTCCCGTAGTGCCAGCTGCACAAAGTGATTCTGCATCTATGTTAGATCAGTGTGTTCTTTCTGTCTTTTGAGTCATTTCTGTTCATGAATTTTCTTACAGATATGAACAGGACCTTTCCCGACAATGTAAAATTCCGAAAAACTTCTGATCCCTGTTTACAAAACACCCTGTACAATGTGCTGTTGGCATATGGTCATCATAACCAAGGTGTGGGATACTGCCAGGTAAGCATCGTGGAAACCCTCATAACTAGTACACAATCAGTGGGAAGCTGGTAATAGTGAGAACACCACAAATTTACAACAGTGATGTTTGCTAGGCTTAAGTTAAATGTTCCTTTTCTAATCCCATTTAAAAACTGCCTAAGTCATAATACCTTGATCAAAGGCTATGGCTTTAAGTGTCTTCCAGTGAGAGAAGCAGTTGAACAATGACAGTGTTTTAGTGACCAGGTGGTAATTAACATGGATGAGACTGGAAAGTTGGGAACCAGGAAGTAAATCATATGGTTGCACTATTGTTTTGAATGCAAAGGGAATCAGAACCTGAATTACCTTCATGCAAATTGTGTGTGTGGTGGTGGTGTTAGGGGTTGCGGTGCCCCACTGAGCTTACATTCTAGATGTCAGGCCTTTTGTGACTTTAAAGATAAGGGTCAGATATGTTTCCTTGCCTACCAATTTCATTCTGTCTTGTTTTTGATCTGTGTAAGTTAGCATGTAAGCTTAGAAAAAAATCATTTCTTGTTAGTCTTTGAAATGGTCTAAGCTCAAAAGCATCCAAAGGGTTACTTTTATTCATAATAGAGAAAACCAAGAAGAGTCCCTAATTGTTGTTAAGTGCCACCAAGTTGGTTCTGAGTCATAGCGAACCTGTGTAGGGTTTCCAAAGCTGTAAATCTTTGTGAGGCTGGAAGCTTCATCCTTCTGTAGAGTAGCTGATGGGCTTGAACCGCTGACCTTGTAGTTCCATAGTCCAGGGTTTACCCTGCCCAGCCACCAGGCTCTCTGAGCACCTAAGTAGGGACACCATAAGTCACACTTAGTCTGGTAATGAGTGTGTGTGCATTTGGTTGCCGGATGCCTTTTTCAGTTCTGTCTGCTCCCTCTAGAGCAGAGGCGACCGACCACCTGTGATGAGAGCAGGAGGCAGCTGTTTTGCCAACACGGGCTTTGAGGATTCCTGGCAGGGCTCTGGGCTGCACAAGACTTGCCTCTGTGAATGTTTTAGGAGAGCCCTCTCTGAATGAAAACAACAGATGATAACCCCATCACCATGGTTTCAAGAATCAGACGCATAGCTTTTCCTGTGTTTGAAGACACATGCTCACATGTGCTTAGAAGCAGCCAGGCTGCTTAAAGGTTACATAAGAGCACAGCGAATGAAATCCATCCGCAGTTTAAATCCAACATTCGTATGTGGACGATGGCTCCAGAGACTACTTGTCAACACTAGGCAGGCAAATGTGCTTGGTTCATTACATAAAATTTGAATAAACTTTTGTCTAAAATTTGGGTTGCTTTGGCAACTTGGGTCCCTGCTGGCACAATATTTGTCAGTCCTCTTTGGTACAAGCAGAAAAAGTGAGTTCCAGAGGGAAAACGCAGTCAAGGAATAAAGCAAATCGGTTTGAAAACACCAGCAGCAGCGAAGAAAAGGAATATGGACTCCTCACCACTGCATCTAAATCGTTCATAGGATTAGAGTTTTACAGTACCAGCTTACATGTGGGTGGTGTCCGCATAAAGATGAAGCAGGATGGGCCCATTCTTCTCAGACAGAATGTCTGTTATTCTTTGCTTTTATTACTGTTAAGTTATTATCCAGGAACAAGGAAGAAATCCTTAAATAGAGATTTTCCTGCTTTTCTCACTGGGAATTAAAGTCATAAACTTTTTTTCTTTTTTTTTTTTTTAAGGCATTGTGACTTAGGCGGTTTATGAATTGTACTGATAAAGAATAGAAATTTGGGAAACAGAATGGCCTAGAAGTGATTTTAAATTATTTCACTTACTTTTCTTTTGATTTAAAAAAAAATTTTTTTTTTTTTTAAATTGTTGTAAAACTATATACTCCTACTCTCACTGGTGTGGCGCTGTGGAATAAAGCACTGGACTGCAAGCTTGGTTTGAACCACAAGGTCAGTGGTTCAAGGTCACCAGCCACTCCTTGGAAACCCTATACAGGGTCACTATGAGTCAGAACCAACTTGATGGCACTTAACAACCCTAACTGTCACTTACTGTCTTGCTGTCTTGTTATTTGATGTTTTACATTTAGGACAGTTGTAACACACCTACTCTCGGGCTGTTTCGTGCATTCATGATGTCTATCTGGCAGTAACAAATGCCAGGTTGTGAGATGACAGTAATGTTGGCTGTGATTGCTAAGGTCATCTGTCCGCTAGACTGGGCCATCATTTTTAGTAGTTTGGAGGTTATGACTGGTCTAATTGTCATCCTCTGGTTTTTTATTTAATGTGGTTATGCTTTATTTTCTCATAATGCCAATTTCCCCACAACGAACTGGCCTTTGGGATTTACCCACGTTAATAAGTGAGGAAGTAGCGGTTGTATGCCCTCGAGTCAGTTCCAACTCATAATGAGCCCTGGTGTGTCGCTGTAGGTTAATGCGCTGGACTGCAATGTCAGTTTGAACTGCAAGGTCGGTGGTTCAAGCTCACCAGCCACTCCTCAGAAACCCTATCCAGGGTCGCTATGGGTCAGAACCCACTTGACGCTACTTAACAACAACAATAGGATTCCTGAGGCTGTAAATCATATGGGAGCAGAAAGCCCCATCTCTCTCCCGTGGAGCGCCTGGTGGACTCAAACTGCTGGCTTTTGGGTTAGCAGCGCAACACGTAACGCACGACGCCACCAGCGCTCCTTGGGTAAGTGAGGAGTGGGCATGTCACACGTTATTTACCAACTCAACAGAAAAATCACTTTCTTTTTTAAAGTCCACATCATTTTTTAATGTTAGCACAATTCTAGAAACTGCTGGCTTTTGCTCACGTGCATGTGTGTGTGCGCTGGTGTAAGCATGGAGTCATAATGTGCATGCTATTTTAGGTACTGCACCCCCTGGTTCAGCACTGTCTGCACGTTTGCCCTCGATGGTTCTGGAAGCAGCCTCTGTTCGTCAGTGCCGGTGGTCATGAGGGGCTCACCCTCTCCAGAGACATGCCTGTCTCTGGACAGATTGCGTTAGTTTCCTGAGTCACATTCTTAGGGTCTGTTCTTTAAGGTGGAATTGCAGGGTCAAAGCAGATGAAGGGCTCTGTGTACGTGTGCATACATGTGTGTACTTTAGCTCTTGATAAACATTACCACGCTGAGGTCTGGATTTCACTTACGATAATTGCCAGCAATGTGTAGGAATATTGGTTTATCTGCAGCTCATTCTTCTGAATTCTTTATCATGGTAATTTACCTTGTTGGTTTATCAAAGCTGGAGTTTTTATTTCCTTGATTACTAGAGAAATACCTATTCTAAAAAATCAGAGAAGAAAAAAAAAAAAAGAAAATAGAGTAGAAAATAAAGTCACCTGAAATCCAGTCCCCCAGAAATGAACACTAAGTCACCGTTGTAAATCCTTCCAGTTGTTTTCTCCCAGGACACTGGACTGTGAGCCACAAGGTCAGTGGTTCAAACCCACCAGCTGCTCCTTGGAAAACCCAGTACAGGGTCTCTATGACTTGGAATCGACTATGGCACTTACAGCAACAACAGCTGCTTGTCTGTGTAGAGTGTCGTATACTTAAATGTTTTCTGATAGCTACTAGCCTTTGACAGACATGTACGATGAGTCTTTTAAAAGTCTCCATCTCAAGATTCTTTCAATATTATCCAAGTGTCAGATAATACTGTTTTTATTAAATAATTTTATAGCCATTGCTATAGTTTACCCTCTACTAAATATTTTTTATGCTAGTATTGTTGTCATTAAGTGCCACTGAGTCAGTTCCAACTCATAGCAACCCTGTATAGGGTTTCTGAGAATCTACAGGTGGGTTTGAACCACTGGCCTTGCAGTTAAGAATCCAGTGCTTATCCTACAGTGCCACACCAGGACTTCCTATATACTATTGTTGTTTGCTAAGTAACACCAAGTCGGTTCTGACTCATAGCAACCCTGTATAGGGTTTTGAAGGAGCAGCTGGTAGGTTTGAACCGCCAACCTTGCAATTAGCAGTCCTATGCTTTTCTTACAGCGCCACACCAGGACTCATATATATGTTGTTGTTGTTGTTGTTAAGTGCCGTTCAGTCAGTTCCAACTCATAGCCATCCCGTATAAGGTTTCAGAGGCTTTTAAAATCTTTGCAGGAGCAGAAAGCCTCATCTGACTCCCACGGAGCAGTTGTATTTGTTGGTTTTTTTTTTAAACCAATTATAACTTATTTTATCTCAGGTTATTAGTTGTTGAAGAGAAGTCATTGATTGTAGTATTCTAAAGCTGTATGCAGAAGAGGGTCCTTTAAATGTTTCCTTTTTCTTCTTTGTCATGTAGACTTAAAAACATTATGGCATGGCAGATCATTGGTGTCTCTAAAGTTCTAAAAAATCATCCTAGAATATGTAAGTTTTAGGGATCGAGTAAAAGAAATTAGAGCTTTATGGTTAGCAGCCAAGGTGCCCTGGTAACACAGCAAATTGGTTATACTTTGGGCTGCTGGCCACGTGGTTGTTGGTTCAAACTCAGCAGTCACTCCATGGGAGAAAGATGAAACTTTCTGCTCCTATAAAGATTTACTGTCTCAGAAATCTTAAGAGTTACTCTACCCTGTCCTGTAGGGTATTAATGAGTTGGAACCGACTCGATGAGTGGGGTTTGGTTTTTACTTGGTTGGTTAGAAGGCAAACCATGAAAGAATCAAGATGGCTGAAAACTCAATGTGAATTTCTGTTTCTCACTTTTCTAATTTCAGGGAATGAATTTTATAGCAGGATATCTGATTCTTATAACAAAGAATGAGGAAGAATCTTTTTGGCTATTAGATGCTCTTGTTGGAAGAATATTGCCTGGTATGTCGGAAATTCCTACTGTATGCCTTAACTGTTTTGTTTCTGGTATTATTGAAATCATTCTGCTGACAAGTCAAGATTTAATTCAATCTTTTTTTAAAATTCAATCTTAATTGAATTGTTTGGGAGTTGAGGTTTAAAATCTTCTTGCAGTTGAGTGACAGAGAAGCAAAATATTTAGGTAGCTTGGTGCCAGCTAGAGCAGCCGGGCTTCTGTGGAGCCATTGCAGTTGCATCTTCTCTTCACATCCGAGCTCGTATGTGGCTGAGACCGTACACTGGAATCGTCTGTTACCCAGCCTGCGCGCTCTTGTATTGAGACTTGTAAGCGCTCATGGCAATTCCAATTAATAAATGTGTTACTTTACTCCAGATTACAAGATCTGTGAGAAGTCCACTGAGTTTCATGAGTATGTTGTTGTTGTTGTTAAGTGCTGTCGAGTCGGTTCCGACCCATAGCGACCCTGTACAGGGTTTCCGAGGGTGTAACTCTTTACGGGAGTAGAAAGCCTCATCTTTCTCCCGCGGAACGGCTGGTAGTTTCGAACCGCTGACCTTAAGGTTCGCAGCCCAATTCGTAACCACTACGCTACCAGAGCTCCTTTCATGAGTATAGTTGTTACTTTATTTGTGAATACTCAACAGAGAACAAGAATGATCAGATATTGTTACTAACGGTTTAAGGAGAAAGGTGTTCTTTTTGTGTTATTTTCCTTTTCTGCTTATTAATAAGTACATTTACCCTAATTATTACCAAAGCATAATGTAGAATCACTTTAGGAGCCAAAAGGTAGAAACAACGTAACCACTCACCAGTAGATGGGTGAATAAACAAAATGTGCTATACACACATACAATGTAATGTTGCTCAGCCAATAGAAGAGAAGGTCTTGGTCCGTGATGCTACTGTTGTGAATGGAGCTTGAATACATCAGGCTGAGTAACATAAGTCAGCCACGGAAGTATTGTATGACCTCCTGAGGGGGTTTCAAAAGTTTGCAAAAAAAAAAAAAAAATCTGTTATCTTTTCATTCCATTTTTCCATGAACTTTTTTGAAGTCCCCTTGAACAAGACAGCAAAAAAAAAAAAAAAAAGTATAGAGACCAATTTTTATTTGTGTTTGCCAGGCATTGGAGAAAGGAGTGGAAAAGGGGTTAACGCTGATGGAATAGTCATATTGATCAAGGGTAGGGCTATACTGTTGATTACTGTCAATAAGTTCAATAGCTGTAAAAAGTCGACGTGACGAAAGCGTGATAAATGTACTTACAACCGTGACAAAAAGGAGAAAGTAGCTATTGAGGCAACTTGTGTACAACCAACACCTCATGGGATTTGTTTCCTTAGTTTAGTGGTATAAGGTCATGGTTTCATAGAACATCCCATATAACTAGCTTGATGTAATGTGTCTAATATCTAATACTTCCATTCTATATAGCTTGATGTGATGTGTCTAATACTTCCATTCTATATAGCTTGATGTAATGTGTTTCATACTTCCATTCTACCTCCTAGGTCATGGCATAGTGCCTGCTGTCTTAAAAGCTTGCAAGTAGCCATCCACGGTACAATTGGTCTCTAGTTGCCTGGAGTACAAAGTTAAAGTTGACGAAGTAGTCCTTTATTCAAGTGTTTGGTTGTATCCATTTGTTAATGATACATGGGTGTTAAAAGGAAATACATGGGTATTTCCTTCTACAAGCCCATTAAGACTGCTTTTTAATAGGAAATGTAGGGTCTCTTTAGTTGCTGCCTTCATAGAGCAGACCTAGTGTGGTGCTGTAAGGGTAAGCACTCAACCTCAAGATTGGTTTGACTGCATCAATATTGTCTCCATTTCTCATTCTTGTTGCTTAGTGGTTCTTGTGTGAGGATGCTTGTTTTCTTTATATTGAGATGTAATCCAGACTGAAAGTTGTACTCCGAGCTTTATTGTCAAACGCTTCAAGTCCTCAACTTTGAGCAAAAAAGTTGTATCATCTGCACATCACAGGTTGTTAATGAGTTTCCCTCCAAGTTCTTCTTACAGCATCTCGGGTTATTTGCTCAGCATAAAGATTTCATATATATGGTGACAGGATACAATCCTGATTCACACCTGTCCTGATTGTAAACCAGGCAATGTCCCTTGTTCCTCTCATACGACTGCCTCTTAGTCTGTGTACAGGTTCTGCCTGAGTACAGTGAAGACTTCTGGAATACCTATTCCTTTCAATAATTTGTTATGATCCATAATTTCTTGTGATCCACGCAGTTGAATGCCTTTGTATAGCACTGAAACACAGGTAAACATCTTTCTGGCATTCTCTGCTTTCAGCCAAGATCCATCTGATGCCAGCAAAGATATCCCTTTGTTCCACATCCTCTTCTGAATCCAGCTTGAATTTCTCGAAGTTCCTTGTCAATGTACTAATGCAATCATTTTTAAATTATGTTCAGCAAAATTTGACTTGTGTGTAATACTAATAATATTGTTTGATAATTGCTGCATCGTGTTGCATCACTTTCCTTTGTAATGATGAGAAGGGTGTGTAATTATAAACCAAAAAAGCAAATCCTGTTGCCATTGAATCGATTCTGACTGATAGCCATCCATTAGGACAGAGTAGAACTGCCCCGGAGGATTTCCGAGGATGTAAGTGTCCTGGTGTGGCACTGTGGGCTAATGTGCCAGACTGCAAAGCTGTTTGAACTGCAAGGTTGATGGTTCAAGCTCACCAGCTGCTTCTTGGAAACCCTATAGAGGGTCACTATAGGTCGGAATTGACTCTCCAGCACATCACAACAAGTGTTAATGGAGGAGTCCTGGGGTGGTGCTGTGGGTTAATGCACTGGATTATGAAGTCAGTTGGAACCGCAAGGTCGGTGGTTTAAGCTCACCAGCCGCCCCTTGGAAACCCTATGTAGGGTCGCTATGTGTTGGAACTGACTCGATGGCACTTCACAACAGTAACAGCAATCTTTATGGAAGCTGACTGCCACATCTTTCTACCATAGAGCCTCCAGAACTTCTATACAGCTAAGCTACTGCTTAGTCCTTACTTAGTGTATTTCAGGTCCCATGCTAACATACACATGCTTATTCATGTCATTCTCACGACAACTGTACTACAGAGGCACAATTATTAAACCTGTTTTACAGGTAAATTGAGGCTGAGCAAGGATCATTCCTACCTCCTCCACACACAGAGAGGACAGGGATGGGCAACTTTGACATTGGCTACCCAGAATGGGGTGGGGAGGGGCGCGGGGGACTTCAGAGGCAAGAAGTAACTGGCTTACATGCTTTCAAGAGGGAACCTAGATCCAGAGGGTGTGGAGCAAGGTAGAATCTTCACTGAGTAGTATACATTCTGCCTAGTCAGGGCCGATGAAAGGAGATGCGGATAGGTGTCTTGCGATACAATAGTGAATAATTGTTATCAGGACTGATTGGAAGGGCTGGAAATGTAAAGGTAGACATTTGGGGGCAAAGGGAAGGAAGTGATTAATCTTGCAGTCTAGGAGCGGAGGTCTCTGGGACCATCAAAGGAGCAAAGCAGAGAATGGAACCCTACCCAGAGAAACAGTGATGCCAGGGATGGAGGCAGAGACGATAACATGGGGAGATGGAGCAGCTGGGGACTTTGGACCCGGAGAGGAAGAGGGGCGGTATGCAGACAACCAGGGGTCAGGCTTGTGGGGTATACCGCTTGGTTGATGGATGATACATGGAAAGGATTGTAACCATGGCAAGGAAATGATATATGACGGGATCAATATGAAGCTGATGTCCTCCCATGTAAACTATCACATAATTCACAATAAAATATTTAAAAAAAAGAAATTTAGGCTGAGGGTTTTAGACCCATGGCTGTATGACTCTAAAACCTCTGCACGTGTCCTCACTAAAGGATGTATGAGGGACACCATTAAAGAAAAAGACCCATGGTGTCTCCATGTGCAGAAGAAAGAAGAGAGATGAAGTCACTTAGACTCACTTAACCTAACAGAGTAATGGAACATGTGAACATCAGTCTCCATGACTCGGAGTCCAGCTACCATTACTAACTATTCTGAAAGGGGTCACATTAGAAGGTACCAGATACAGTGGCAGAATATATGAAACAAAACTCAAAATTATTTTTTTTAAATGACCTGATTTACTGGTCAGAAAGTGACTGGAGGCCCTTGGTCACCCTTCAAGTCTGGAAAGGAGCTTACCCTCATGGCCCAACTTTCAGCCAAGCAGTAGATCGGTATGTACGGGGAACAACAGCACGGAAATAAGACATGCTCACTATGAATAATGGAGTGGTCAGTCGTTCAAAATCACAGGGCAAAATGGACCTAAGGGCAAAGTTGAAAAGGGAAGGAAAGATGGATGGAATGGGGGTGGGACGCGCAGGAAGGAAGCTGGATGACTTGTTCCAGGGAGGGGACTGCAGTCTTTGCGATGCCCCGTGTTATTTGTTGAAGGTGAAACTGATGATCTCACCTCTAAACCTTCACTCAATTCACAATAATTTCCCAGACAGGGAAATCAGGAGTACCACAGATGCTTCAGTACCTAATGTTGTTGAGAAGTGCCATCCAGTCTGTTCCGACTCATAGCGACCCTGTATAGGGTTTCCAAGAAGTGGCTGATGAGTTTGAACCACCACTGTGGTTCATGGTTCAAACTGACCTTGAGATTGAGTTTGTGGCACCACACCAGGACGGCTATAAAAGTGCAAAACTGGGAATACCAGGGACCCAGCTGTTTGGAGCAGCATGAGGGGGAAGGAAAGTTGGACCGAGGGGTCCTGAGTTCTGGAGGAGAGCCGTAAGGAGGGATTTCCAGGCAGAGGGAGCAGATCAAAGCAACATTTTGTAAAGAGTCTTCAGGTATTCCCCAGCATAAGGAGTTCTGGTGTGTCACTGCCGACTAATGCGCTGGACTGCTAAATCGATTTGAACTGCAAGGTCAGCAGTTCAAGCTCACCACCCGCACCTTGGAAACCTTCTACTGGGTCACTAT